GTGAGGGGCAGGGTGGGCTGGGTCCTTCCTTCCTTCCTGCCAAGACCACACCCCAGTGACTTCACTTCCTTCCTATAGCCCAGCCTCTTAGGGTTTCCAGCACCTCCCATGGTGTCACAAGCTGGCATCACAGGCTGCCTGTAGCTGTTGGCCTTTGAGGAAACATTTAAGATCTAAACAGCAACACGTGTTGAAATATCCTTGCGTCCCTGGGAGGAAGCCAAGTTGAACCCGGCGAATGACCTTTCTGATGTGCTGTTGATCTGATTTGCTAAATATTTGTTGAGAATTTTTACATCTCTGTCAGGGTCTCTAGTTTGTTTTTTTAAATTGTTGTGTCCTTGTTGGTTTTGGTAACAGAGTAATACTAGCTTTAGAGAATGAGTTTGGAAATCCTCCATCCCTTCGATTTCTTGGAATAGTTTAAGAATTTACATTAGTTCTTCAAAATTTTGGTGAAATTCAGTCGTTGTCATTGGTCCTGGATTTTTCTCTGTTACTCTCTTGTTACTGATTCAATCTGAGCACTTGTGATTGATCTAGTCAGGCTTTTAATGTCTCAGGATTCAATTTTGGTAGAGCACACGGGTCCAGAAATTTGTCATTTTTGGGCTTCCCAGTTTGTTAGCATATAGTTTTTCATCTTAACCCCTACAATTCGTTGTATTTGCATGGTCTCCTCTTTCATCTCTGATTTTATCTGGGTCTTCTCTTTCTTCCTGGTTAGTGTAGCTAAAGTTTGTTGATTTTATCTTTCCAGAAATCCGAGTGAGTTTCATTAGATCATTTTTACTCCCCCTCCTGGTGTCTGCTCTTCACCCTTTCCTCCAATCCTGTTCTTCATATGCAAATTTGGCCTTTTCTTTTGGACTCTCTAATTTATTGCAACATAAAGTTTTGAAACATCTTCTTACAGTCCTAATTATGTCTATTGTGATCCAACCTTTTTCATTTCAAATTGCGTCAGTACGGCTCTTTTCTTTTCTCTTGGTATATTTGGAGGAGGGTTTATTTGTCTTATTTATCCTTTTAAAGAACCAGCTTTTAGAGCCATCTGTTCTTTTTGTAGTGTCAGTTTTATGGATTTCTGCTATGATCATCACCATAATTTGTTTTCTTCTGCAGCCTCCTTCTTCATTCTCTTTTACACCATTGTGGTGGCAGGCCACCCTAGGCTGGGTCTTCACACCCAGAACTATGCTTAGTCAATTTAGTTGGGTGTTTCTTACTAAGCTGACATCATCAGTTAACCTTCACAGTGGGACAAGTGGAGAACCATCCATATTCTTTATTTGACTTATTGAGCTCTTCATTTCCAAGATTTGTTTGGTTCTCTTTCAAGATCTCTCTTTGCTGAATTTCACATTCATATCCTGTATTGTCTCCCTAATTTTTTAATGGTTTGTCTGTGATTTCTTTTATTTCCTTGAGACTTTAAAAGTTCTTTTGTTATTTACTGCCATTTGATCAGTATCAATTTCTTGGGATCTAGTGCTAGTGTTATTATGATCCTCTGCCTGCATCATATCCCTGTTCTTTTCTATTTCTTGTGTTCCTAAATTGAGTTTTTGCATCTGATGTTTCATGTATCTCAAACTCTTAGGGGTGACCTTCTACATAAACAACTTGCTCCTAAAGCTGTTTCTTGGGGTGTCATTTTGTTATGCATTGTTGGTTTTATTTCCGTAATGTGGTTTCCCTGTAGCTTCTTTGCTTATGGCCAATAACTTTGGACACTGTGTGTACCCATGCTGAGTCACAGATATCCATTGTGGGCCACAAACTGGGGACATTCTAGCCATTGTGGGTGTGGTATAGACAGCCAGGGTGTGGGCTCCTCACTGTGCACTGTCCCTCCAATGGGACAGATGGCCTCTATTGTGTGATGTGGTTTCCTCAGGCACTGTTGATGCTAATTGTGTTGCTAGCAAGGGCCTCTGGCACTAGTGGCCCCACAGTGGTCAGGGCCCTGACACACTTGTCCTCCAACCAGGCTCTGAACAGGGGGAGGTGGTTGCAGGAATCAGTTTCCACTTTGTGGTGCTCATTCCCAGTCCTGACAGCAGAGGGCAGCACAGCGGAGGGGCCAGGTGTGGTGTGGACTCAGACATGGTGATGTTCCTCTCTGCTAGGGGCTCTGCAGGCCTGGAGGCTGGACTGCAGCGGGTGCAGTCTGAAGTTCCTCTTGGCCCCTGTGAGTGTGCACAGTGCTGCTCTGGCAGCTACAGTTAGGGATTTTCTCTCCTGCCTCCTTCAATCACAACATATACCCAAGACCAGGGCGCTCACCAGAGACAGAGTTGTGGAAGCCCCCAGCACACCACTGCCTGCTGATAAGAATCAAGATTTACAGTGACATGGGGCTTCTAGACACTGGAGATCAATGAAGAATTGCTTCAGCATCTGGAAGGAATTCCAACAAAACAAAGTGGCTTCTCAAATGGAGTCCAGAGCCACTACCCCAGAGGCAGGGTGGGCTCAGAACCAGCCCTAGTGCTATGGACACATAGTGTGTCCTGGGTCATGTGCTGGGTACCTGATACGTTCCAGTACTGGCCTGAAGACACCCTTGGTCCTGAGTTATGGGAGAGGAAACTGAAATTCAGATGTTTGACCAACTTGAGGGCACTTACAATCGTATTTTGGCAAAGCCAGACTAAAGCCCGCAAAGCCCATTTGAAATGTAGCTAACTGTGATTTGTATGAGTGAACAGGGGTCAGACTGGCACTCAGTAGAAGGAGACAAGGAGACACTGGGACCTTCCTGGCACACAGAGAGCACTGGGGGGGGGCGCTCTGCTTAGAGGTAAACGCGCTTCATCCAAAAGCAAGAGACCACCCAGCGCCGGAAGTTCAGCATCAAGTTCTGATTTTGGAAAATTTCAAGGATGTACCAGGTGTGATCAGAAGATGCTATAAATGACTTTCCAGTAAAAGACACATTGTGATGAGTCTCCCTCAGAATCTTCCCCTGGGCTGCAAACACACTCACACCAGCATCCTTCCCACTTGCTGCAGCAGTTTCGTGAGTATCTTGATTGCATGGCTGCGGCTGCCACAATGTCCTGAATGGATTCCATATGTGTCCCTTTCCAGGTCATTATGACCTTGGTGAAGATCTGGATCAGGGAGATAAGGTGACCTGTATTGCTAGGAATTGTGACAGCGGTTACCTTGAGGAGGGCCCTGACTGAGCTGGGGCACATGGAGTGGGGCGGGGTGCCACAGGCTTAGGGACATTCCTCAGCTCCCTCTGTGGAGTTATTCATTATGTGTTCTATCATGGCTAGTTTGAGACTTATGCCTGCTCTCATCTGTACCAGGAGTTTGTGTTCTGTGGCTCTGCCAGCTTCCTTTGTGCAAGTGACTTGTACACAGTTCCATACGCCACTGCGGGAGGACATTTGGGGTTCCTGCTAGGGACACTGCTGTATGAGTATCTGGATAGATGTGAGCACAAGCCCCAGGAAAGACCAACTCCCAGACAGGCTCCTTCCTCCTTGGGGACACAGAAGAGTGTTCCAGGTGGCAGAGGCAGTGTCCCCTCCTCTCCCGTCTGGACCTCTGCCATTCAATCTTTCCTTGTTCAGGAAGTCCCCCACTTATGAACAACATTCAAACTTTCACAGCTGTACCGTATAAGATTTACTTAGTCAGATACAGACAAATCTGACTCATGAACAATTTTTCCAGAATGAAACTTATTCATAAGTTGGGGACTTAATTGTACTTATGTTTCTGAGAGCTGGATATGTCTTTGAGCTTTAATTTGCTTTTGTCTGACAAGAAATGATGCTATGTGTGTTTGAAATGGCTATGGGTTGAGTGTTTCATCAAGCATCATGTTAGGTATGTTGATTGTTGTTTTAAAAGAGAAAAGTCTCCTTTTGATTGTAGTGCTTTCACAGCTACTTGGATCTCAACTGCCTTCTCCCAGCCCCAGATTTTCCTCTTCATTCTCTTGAAGGTCTCATTTGATGGAGATGCTCTTTAGATAAAGTCTAATGTGTCTTCTTTTAGATTGCAATAGCGCTTTTCCTGTCCTGTCTCATAAATGTTTCTCCTGAAGGTCAACGGGAGTGTTTTTAACTAAGAACAGCATGGGGGAGATGTTCAGGATGTTCGTAGGACCCTTGAAATGCTGAACCAGGGCAATGAACGTGGTTCTCCTATTACAGGCCACTGAGTTAGATAGAAACATTATAGGCAGGCAGGGCCGGGTCCTCAAAGGAGCCAGTGCAGAAGCCCAGGTATCCTGCAACTGGAGGAGACAGACACCTCTTGCTGTGACCTCAAGACAAAAGATCAAACAAATGCACCCTCATCCTAAGGACTGATATTCTAAATAGGTCTCTGTCACCCTGAGGAAGCCAGGAGTCACCATCCCAACCCATAGGGACAAATCTATGAATTTGCTATGTGACTGGCTCCCCCATTCGTTCCCTACTTAATCAATCTTACCTGAGCAATTAAACCTACTTGTTGACCGTAGTTCTGTCCCCCTTATGCCCACTTTGCAAGTTCCCATGGTTTTCCCATCTTGGACCAGTCTCACCTCATGCTTTTGCTCTATAAAAGTTTCTAGAAAAGACAGTCTTTGGCAACCCACTTGGGACCCCTTCTCTCTCTCTTCAGACAGAAGCTTTCTTTCTCTCAATAAATATATACTACTCTTAACCTCCATTGTTCCTAAAATTCATTCTTCAATTTTAGAGAACTTGAACTCGTACCAGACACATAGAGGTTGGGAGTTATATCCCCCGTATCACTCTGATTCCCTCATCAGTGAGCTTCTCATCTTACCCCTCCAGGCTCGGTTCCTCTCCGCCAAGAGACCCTGCAGCCTGAATTCCCTCAATGCTCGTTTCAGGAACAGCCTGGAGGGGCTGATCCTACATGCTGAACCCTCCTTATGAGTGTAGGCTGAGCCATGCTCCTTGGCAACTGCCGCTCAGACATTCAACCCAGACACACAGCACAGAAAGGAGACCAGGACCAAAGTCATTCACCAGATATATTTGAAATCTAAGCTCTTTGAGCTGTACACGTGCACAAATGATCAGTTGGCGGGAATCTTCCCTCTCCCCTCTATATGAAAAGTTTTCAAACTTACAATGGTGCTAAAGAAGTTACATCGTGTGCAGCACAGAAACGCTGAGGCGATCGATTGTGACTTTTACAGTGCGAAGAGGTCCCATTGAGGCACGGCAAGGAGCCTTGCCCTTTCCTGCCGCTCCTCCGCCTCCCTGGAGCCCAGCTCTGCTTGATCTGGGACAGGCAGATGGACGGGGATACGTGGCAGTGCAGGTTACTAAGGTTAACCACCACGGTCACAGACGCCACTGGGTTTGCACAATGACACGGGATGGTCACTTCAGCTTTTTCTAAGTTGCTGGCAATTTATGATATGACTTATTTGTGACATTTAAAAGTCATTTCCAAACACTCTCTTATATGCATCCTGGGAATACGGGATAGCTTAAAAAGCCAAGGTCTCCCATGAGACAGTGGGACCGCTTGCCTGACTTTAAATTTTTATTCCTCTGAAAAGCTTAGTCCCGCATTTCTCCACCAGGGGGCACTCGTTCTCCATTACTAAGTCTACTCTGTCCACCCAAATTCTAACCCTCCACTACAAAAGATTCATTTATCCACTCCTCAGATTTTATTTTTGAAAGGAGTCATTTCCCCCTATGGAAACTCAGGATCTTAGAACTAACGCCCTCTTCAGTTTCACCTGTACTGTGTGCAGTACTATATTGCTATATTCACAGTAGAACGGACTTTATTTTCTGAGTGATCAGAAGCTTGAAGTTTCTGATGAAACTAACATACACCTTAGTCAAAACCACAACAATCCTTCCGCCGTTGGCTTTGTTATTGTTCTTGCCTGTGTGGCCGAGGCTTAGGTACAGAAAGTGCTTCCCCACTCCAGGATGGCCAGCATTTGCATCTAAGGGAATTCCTTAACTGTGTAGATGGAGCGGAAGGTGATGGTCCTATAGGTGTATCTTCTGTAATGCACTTTGGGCTAGAGAATAGAAAAACCACATGTAACGCAAACAAACAACGTTTTCGGGCACGTGGGCCTTGCACGAGTAGGATCGGCAGATGCCTGCCGTCTTTACCCACTTTCATAGCTCGGCTGCTGCTTCGTACTGGAGACTGAGCTCCATCCGAATTATCTACAGCTGATGCATCTTTATTTAAAAACAGTGGTCTTAGTAGCAAAGATGTTGGCTAGCCACTCATCTATCAGCATGAGATGCTTTCGTGTCCTTTTTAAGATTCAGCGTTATCCATAATGGCGTGTAATATTATCAGATTATCTGCATTAGTATATGAATGCATTCATAAGCAATGCACATAGTATGTTTTAAAGCAGCTAATGGTTGGAGAATCTCTAAATAAAAAACATCCAGATAGTAAAAGCACAGCTGAAACATTTGTACAAATATACAAAGAGGAAAAAAACAATCGTTCAGACACTGCAAGACTTGGATAATAAACAGGTTTGTCTGAAATCGGTCTCTATCACCCTGGACAAGCCTCCCCAGAGAGGTGGGCAGTACTGCATGGAAGAGGTGTTGTAGATATGAGGGGGGTATCTTTGGGGCCAAGCTCAGCTTTGCCTCCGAGAATTTTGACAGAGCTATGAAGTACTGACTCAAAATTGTGACTCTGCCCAGACTTGTTGAACTGGGTGCTACCGATAAAATTCTTAGTCTAGTGAGGACATGGCTGGATGCTGACAATTCGTGAGTTACAATATCCTCAAATCATGAAAATAAATGCTGGTGATCATGCATGTCCTGGGAATGTCGGGATGCAGAGGACTGAGTGAGACCAGAGAGGGAAATCTCATGCAGTCAAAGTCAAGTTTACGTATGGTCCTATTTAAGTGGCCAGGAAAACCCAAAAGAAAAAAAAAAAAACACTACAGTGCCCATATCAGGACAGGGACTGAAACAACTCACAAACAACACTGGTGCTATTTGTTACTGATGTCTCTGGCTTGGATCAACACGCAAGAATGAAGATGTTGGCTGTGCTCACTGTTTAATAAGAAAATACTACTCTTTTTCTTCCCCTAGGACTTTCTAGATGGCGGGTTATACGTCATGGGTATGATATGATCAGGAGCCATATCACCTTTGCCTAGCCCTTTTGTCTGAGAGGCTTGATTTCAAGGAAGGAATCTCAACCAAATACCCAGGGATTTAAAGGCAATTAATTTTTCTGACGAACAATGGGGTGGGGGAGCATGATAAAGAGGAGACAGATATTCTCATCAAGGTGGAGCGGTCAATTCAGTTGGACACAGAGGGTGGCAGCCCGGGACGCCGAGTCTGGATGATTTTTGGTTTTGGGGAAGTCTTTGGCTCTTCCTCTTCCTCGATGTCACTGTCACACACGTGTACCACGACGCTTGGGGTGGACTCGGTCCCTGCGTGGAGCTCATACTTCTCTCCTGAAAAGCAAGGAACATGGGGTTGACAAACAGAAGGGGTTTCAAAGCAGACTCTTTGGCAAGGTTTTTTCAGGAAGTGAGAAGTGTCTAACAGGGTCTCAGATGGTGGAGAATGGGGTACAGGACATGGGATGAAAGCAATCTGTCACTTAGGGAACAAGGTCCGGTCCACTGTGTAGCAGTGTTGAGAGGTAGCACTGCTTCGAGATGATTGGATCAGGAAGTCTTTAGCTTCATCACTGGACCAATCCCTTAACAGCATTATAATTGGATAGTGTTCCTGAGAGGTGATGCGGGTGTAGGCAGTACAGACTGATGGAAGGGAAAGGCTCATAGGTGGATGCTCTTTGGGGCTTTTTCTTGTCCTTGCCCCTTCCTCTCTGGTTCTTGCTACCTCTTCTGCTTCCTGGCTGCCATGAGGTTAAGAGCTATTTTCTACCATGCCACGCCCTTCCGCCATGATGTTTCTGCCTCCCCTTTCTGGTGGCAAGGGAACTACCTCAAAAGCATGGAGCCAGCCAGCTAGCCAGCCAGCCACGGACAGAAACTATGAGGCAAAACAAGCCTTTCCTCCTCTCAGGTGCTTTATCACAGTTACAGAAGGCTGTCTAAGGCCATGTCTCTACTTCAGAAGTGGCTGGTCCCTTTCCCACCAGGTTGGGGAGAGACAACTGTCAGGGTGAGAGAGGACTCCTCACTGTGCAAAGCCCTGTCCCCATCACGGGAACACGGTCTGCTTCCTTAGGAGTAGAGGTATTTTATTGCCGTGATCCTATTAATGCTGACATTTCATTGTTCTATTTTTGGAAACTTTCTTACTATCAAGATCCACTAAAGCCTAACAGCTGCTGAGAGCCTACAAAATGAGAAGAAATGACTTTGGTCTTGCTGGATTGAATTTTTCTTTTTTGGCCCCTTTTTCCCTTTGGGCTTCAGTTAATTCCTTCACCTGGGGAGCTGACGTCAATACTGCCACCCCGAAAAGGGCCCAAGTTAGCTTAGTTGGGGATGTGGAGCCAGCCAGGTCTTATTCACAAGGGTGGCACAGGATCTGCCTTGGTGCAGTGACAGTGGGTCAGCATTCCTTTAAAGGACAGTGCCCATCTGTTTGTGCCATTTCCTCCGTCCTTTCCCCTGTGCAAAGGAAGGAGGCTGCAACAAAACTCATCACCATCCAAACGGCATGGATCATGGCTTTCCATCCATCTGCACTGCACAAATTCCAAGTGAGCACAGGAAAATTCCTCTCACACTGGCTGAGAAGGAAACTCCCCTGCAGGCCACTTGATCTATTGGAGGCTTGGCCAACTTTCAAGAGAAGCTGAAGCCCTGTCTCTCTTCTCGGGTGGGTGGGAACTGGTTGGTGACAATGTCCCAATGCGTGCAGGAATGTAGGAGGGTGTGTGGGTGTCTTCTGCTGCTTCCTGTTTCAGGAGAGGAGGACTCTGCTGACCACAGTGCTGTAGTGCTCAGAAGTACGATGGCTGCTGGGCCCAGGAGACTTCCCGCATGTCCCCTTTGGCTTACAGAGGGGTCCTTGAATTGAGGGACTGACCCACAGGATTACAGTCACTAAAAACCAGCATAATGCAGGTGTGGGGGTGCTGGGAGGAGTGTGACTCTGAGCTGTGTGTGTTGAAGCAGAGATATGACTCACTGTTCATATGCTTAGCAAAAAAGTTTTCCATTGGGAGAAGAAATTTTCCTAAACCTCGAATGCCCTCAGGATAAGTTCTATCACTGTTCTGCTAAGGAACCCACAGGATCCCTGCGAGGGGCTTTGCAAGCACAGCACAGCCCAATAGGTGCAAGGTGCTATTGTCCTCAGCACCAGGGCTTTCCAGGAAGGTTCCTGTACCTAGGAGCCAACGTCACCTCCATCCTGACTGACACACGTCTCCATGCCAGACTGCTGCACTTTCCAGACTCACATTCCTCTTCTGAGACAAGGTCTTACTGTGTAGCGCAGGCTGGCCTCAAACTTATAGCGATTCTACTGTCTCAGGCTCAGGAAGGGATTACACATGTGCGCCACCACGCTGGACCAGACTCACATTCTTAAAGCAGAATTGCATGGTGTGTGTTTAAATAACCAAATGCATTTCAGTAAAAGACATATTGCCACAAACCCATTCACCCCTCACCCCACACATACTCTGAATACTGTTATCCTCTGGTGCAGTTCTGAAGTCCTCTTTCCTGAGTGTCTTTATTTGCACTGTCATGGCTGCCTGAGTGACCTGAACTGATTCAAAACATTGACCTTTCACAACCTTTTTGACTTTGGTAAGAACCAGAAGTTTTGCACAGTGCCAGATCTGGTAGACAGGTGGATGAAGACACATTGTCATGTTTTTTTTTTTTTTTGTATCAGGAATTGAACTCAGGACCTTGTACTTGCCAGGCAGGCATTTATGCTGCTGAGCTATATCCCCAGCCCTCCACAATTATGTTCTTAAGAGGCTGCTCTTCTACTGGCTGGCACTCAGCAGCAGCATTAGCTGTGTTTTTTGATCACAGTTATAAAGACTGTCAGGAAAAAGGACCTTCAGAACTGCTTCAGACAGCAGCGAGAAGGATGGGATGAGTAGGTAATGTGAGCAGGGAGGTTTTGAGGGTTTTATGGCAACATAATCTCGGACGGTAATGCATTTTTTGAAATGTGAACATTTGCGTATTCTTTGACCACCCTGGTACACAGTTGCTCTGTTACTCTACCCTCATCAAGACAAGGCTTTCTTCACAAGAGGCAAAGACGTAGGCCACAGGGAGGGCTGTGTGTGTGCAGGTTTAGGTCAGGGTCCCTTTGGGGACAGGATCTGTTGTCTTTTTTTTTTTTTTTTTTCTTTTTTGAGACAGGGTCTTGCTATGCAGTTCAGGCTGGCCTTGAGCTCACTTTGTAGCCCAGGCTGGTCTCAAAACTCTCAAGGATCCTCCCACCACAGCCTCCCAAGTGCTGGGATTATAGCGGTGAGCCACCACACCCGGCTTGGGCCTATTGTCTTTTATTTCCTAATGTTATGGGCCTGGCTCAGGCGACAGCTATGGGGTCACACAGACCACAGTGATCCTATTTAAAGTACTTATTTCAGGTAGAAAAATCTGCTATTCATCTCTTTTTTGTATATCTTTTCAAATATTTGACCATGTGCACATTTTGCCTATGCATTAAGGAAATATTTTGTTTTGCCTTTCCATGGTGATTGAAGATTAACTGTAGAATATATGCTGGGTGAAAAGTACCTTAAAATATTTTCCGGGGGAAAATTCTCAGAAAGGAAATGGGAAACAAGGAATCTCGTTCCAGGAACACAACCTGAATCCCTTGGGTAGGGAGTGGGGTGTAGAGGCTGAGCTTGCTTGAAAGGTAGATTCCTGTGGACTTGGGTGCTTTCCTATGATCACAATAGTACAGCAATTGTTGAACAAAAACTGAGGCTTAGTGGAATATTTATCCCACATGCCCCAAAATATGGGTGCTCATCTATATTTTAAAATCTGATTTTTTTCCACCTACCTCTGAATCAAAGCCCGGAATCGAAAATGTTCCTTCCTTGTAAGTTACATTAATTAATGAAATGTGTTTTCCATTTGAGGGAAGAAATGTGTACCAAGCGTAACACCAGCAAAATTGCTCCACTATGGTGCGTCTGGATGGAGCAGGATTTGGAAAAAAGATCTAAATTTAGCAGACACACACAGACTTGAAACTTGAGCACCATTTTAAACCCTCCTCTGCAGTTAACTAAAATTGATCTCTCTAACAAGAGCTAAAAATAGCAAGAGGGAAAAGAGGAGAGACAATGACTTTTCATATTGCTCCCCGCAGGCATTTGCAGTGACAATGGGCTTGACCTTCTAGGGCGGCAGGCAGCAGAACAAAGCCTGGTGCTTTGCAGCCAGCCTCTGATGTGGTGTGTTTTGGCCTCGCATCGCAGGGCCGGCGTCTCTGTGCTGCAGCCATTTTTGCTGATTGGTGTGGATAATTCTGCTGCCGTATATATAATTTTTTATATATGTAATATATAATTTAAATTTAAATTATATAATAATATATAATTTATTTTTTTCTTTTTTGTTTCATATCAAAAAAGAACATGGTACTGCACGATCCACTGCTTCTGGAATTAGAATAGATGCTATATAATACATATTCAATTCACTGTAGGTCTCAAGCTCAGAGGTCTTGGCCTGGGAAGTCATGGTATCTCCAGGTCACCCTGGGGAAGTGGGGAGACCTGGAGAGATGCGTGAAACCTCTGTTTCTAAGTGATTGTTTCTCAGAACTGAATTTGGCACACTCTGACCTGCAGGTACTGCTGGCCAGCAGTGAGAGCCAGCCATGTGCCCTAAAATAAGGGCCAGGGTGTGCTTAGGGAGCCTGATAGCAAAACAAAGTGCAGAGGAACAAAAGGTCGTGTTTTTAAAATTTCCTTTCACAGTGATCTTGAAGTTCTTTTGAAACAAGTATTTTACTGTTTGAGATCTTCTGGTTTCTTAAACGTCTCAGCATCAACCCTTTGTGCTTCTGGCCAGTGACAGAGGAACATATTTTAAACTCCCAAGGCAGGTGACTAAATCTGTGCCTTACCTTTCCAGCTATGGGAAGAGGACAGTGACAGTACCTGCTGTCTGAGAGCACTGGCAGAGATTACACAGTAAGGGTTAGAGTGGTGCCTGACATATCATCAGCCCTGTATAGAAGAATAGGTCACCGTTTATAGTTTGTTTCTAATTTATGCATTTCCTTTCTGGATCAGAAATGATTAATAATGTTTGGGGGCTCAGTGCAGAGCAGTCATCTGACATGCTCGAGGCTCTATGTCCATCCCTAGCACTGTTTAAAAATGTTTCATGTTGTGCCTCTCGTAATTTCCAGATTATGAACTAGCTCTCACTATAACAACACAGAACAGAAAGAAACTCTCACATGGGATTAGCCTGTGTCACTAGTTACATTTCCTTAAGGGTTTCCATGGAAACCCACAGTTGGGGGCTTTGTAACTGCACTGTTCTCTGCCTGCTTATTCCAAGGACCTTTGTAGAAATTTTTCACTGACCTCTCCTCCTCTTGTGAAGAACAGGCACCCAGTTTTGCCCCTGGAGTGTCTTGGTGAGGCTTGTGTCCCCAGCCTCCTGTCTGTCCTCCCTGCAAGGTCCTGATCCTCCCCAGGCATCGGGACACAGGACACAGGAAAGCTCCCACAGCCAGTGGGTTGACCGACGTGATCCTACCCTGAGCCCCCTTCCTGATGTCCCCTCTCGGCTGCTCTTTCTGTGGACTGACCTGTCCCAGCAGCCTTAGATTTCTCACCCCCCACCCCTCTGTCTTAGTCACATGAGCTGCGTGGTTCTCATTTGTACATGAGCTTCTGGAATTGAAGCAGCCATCCCTTAACATGAAATGAGTTATAATTTGTTATTGAAATGATTCTGCTGAAGGATTAAGAATGAATTTCACTAAATCTTTTTAAAATTGACATGCTAGAAGTCCCTTCATTATTGAAAACATTAATTTACTGCTGTTTGACTCAGTCTGGCTGAAGCCCTGGGAAGCAACAATTTGCTAGTTGAAGACAGGGTCTCTAAGCGAGTTAACAGCTCTTCTATTCACTTATGGATTCATTTACTCACCCGATATTTACTGAGCATCAACTATGTGCCAGGGGCTATCAGGGGCTCAGAATGCAAAAAGGAAAGGCTGTCTCCCCCCCCCCCCCGAGAAAATAGAGAAGATGGCAAGCTGAACAGGAAATTACTCTAAGGAGGAGCAAGAATTTGGGCAAAGACCTACAGGAAACTTTGGAGGAGCTTCTTGCCCTGGTACCTGGTTGGGGAGACTCAGAGACATGGGTGAGAAGATTTGGGGTACAGCTCCTGCTCTCTCCTTGTTGCCGCTGAAACAGTCCCTGCTGTGGTTTGAGTGTGTTCACTGTTGGAATCTCAATTCCCACTATGGCCATGTTGGGAGGCATTGAGTTCCTGGGAATGGGTCAGTGCTGCTCTCCTGGGACTGGACTCATTAGCACAGGAGCAGGTTGTCATAAAGCAAGGCCATACCCCGTCCCCAGGTCCTCTCTGTTGCATGCATGCCAAGAAAAACTGGTGCTCTACCCAGTCTCCAAAACCATGAGCCAAGCAGCCCTCTTCTCTATAAATTACCCTGTCCACAGAAAATGGACCTTGACAACTTCTAATGGAACCTCTGTGACATTTGCAGCTCAATTATTGGCTATGAATCATCCATGTGGCAATGGGAGGCAAAAAAAAAAAAAAAAACCAAAAACCAAACAAACAGCTTCAAACTGCTAGCAAAGAGAGAAGCAAAAGATATCCCCAAATGCCTCCAAGTCGCTTCTGTCCACAGAACCTCAGTCATCCTTGAAAAGCAGGACACCCCTGCTTCATACTCACACACAGTAGTGCACATCTCCATCTGCATGCTCTGGACATCAGGCCAGACTTTCTGGGAGTCTGGGGTGGGGGTAACGAGAACTGCCAACCCTTGGTGAGGACAAATGTGCTACCAGTGTCAGAGCAGAACAAGCCTGAGGCAGTCAGCATCTGGTCCATCACTCCCTGGATTCAGAAAAGCCAGGATCCGGAATTGGCCTGTCACCAGTCAGCTGTGTCACCTTGGGGAAATCCATCCAACTTTTTCCAGCTTAGTCCCTGGATCTGTGGCACAGGGATAATGAGAGCTTCTGTCTTGGTGCACCATGGGGAGCTCTGCACAGCAGCTAGACACTTACTGTGACAAAGGAAAGTAAAGGGCACAGGCAGGACAAAGGCTTGCACCTGCGCACTAGGGACCAGGAACTCACAACTTGTATGTAGAAAGAACTACCCTCTTTCCTGTCCTTGAGACCATTCCCTTCTTTTCCTTCCCTCCTGTGTCAGGCCTGCTCCAGCAGGTAGGACAGGAGGTAGTGGGGTTCTGAGGGTCAGCAAGTTCTGACTCAGCCTGGGCCTCCTTTTGAAAAGTGAGGTCCTGGCTCTGTCATGGGTGAGTTATCTACCAGCTCTTGGAACTCAGTTTCCCTCCCTGTAAAACACAAGTCAGCCCACTGTCTATATAGCCTTAGGGGCTCTGCAAAGCATTCCATTTGCTGACAGTCCAAACAGCTCTGCCAAATGCTCCAGTGTAACCCTGTTACTCTGTATGCAAGGGAATGACCCTGTAGCCCCAAGGAGCTGGGCTCTGACCAGTCCACTGGATGAGACATGTTTGTCTGCTACTGAAGTGGTTTCCCAAGGAGAATCCCAGTGCATTCGCTCTGAGCAGGGAGTGTGCCAGCTCAGGCTTCCAGGAAGTCCTGTTTCCCAAACTCCGCCCTCATATTACATCACTTCCTTCCCTGACCAGGCTCAGACACACACAGCCACACAGCATGACTCTTTGCATGTGAGACTTAGTGCCATCTCCAAGAGCCCAGGAGCCCAGTGACTCCCTGGTGACTACAAGGGAACCCCAGCAGCTTACTCTAGAGGATGCTTGTAATTTAATTGCAGGCCACAAAAGTGACAGCCAACAGTTCTCTTGTGATGAGGGCTTATGAATCAAACCAGCCTCATGTTTTTCTGAGGAACCAGCAGGGTGGAAGCATTTTCTGGTTTGCCCAGAAGTCTACTGGTTTTACCCCTGACCATCCCACATCCCAGACACCCCTCCATCTTCAGTGAACTGGGTTTGAAAATATTGTTTACAAGAATCGGCACATGAGACCATTCGAACTACAGATTTCTGAGGGGGGTCTGGCCCAAACATTTTCCTGATGACACTATGAAATACTAGTGTGAACTTATTGAGAGTTTACTCTTCCAGGAATCTCACTTAGGCTCCGAGTGGTTCTTGAGCCCATGTAGACATTAGAATCAGCTTTTAAAAAATAGTGATGCCTAAGCTTTACCCTTGATCAGTTAAATTAGAATCTCTTAGGGTAAGCTCAGCACATTGGAATTATACCTTAAAGCTCCTTTTCTCTTTGGCAGAAACCCCAGTAGACAGAGCTGACTTCTTGCCGTTCACTGGTACCTAGGTTCATGGATGCTTTTATTTGCGAACAATTTAGTTCCCAAATAAAAGCACTTGGCAAAATTTTGTCTTTGTTTGCAAACTCTACATTGGGTGACAAACAAGACTGTGGTCATCTTTCTCACACAACGCAAATTTGAGCATCTTTTCCAAAATTGCACAACTGGGTTCCTTAAGTTCGTGAATTGGGGTATCATCATATTTATCCTGGGCTCCACTGTACCAAGTACTTTAGCTGTCCCTGGGTTCAGGGACCCCTCTAATCTCCACTCTTTCTCTTCCTGCATTAACACAGGAAATATAATTCTGAGCATCAGGTGGTATCTACTGACATTGAAGGCAATTATGATTTCTAGGTATAAAACCTAGAGAACTATTTGGGCAGATGCATAAGGAGATGTATATGAGAATGTTAATGGTAGCTTTGCTGCCAATAGGAAAAGCCTAGAACTAAAGCATGGTAATGAGTTCACCTACTAGAATACTGTTCTCCAATGAAAATGAGTTATGCAGATGTACAGACACCGACACTGGAACAAAGTAACCACAGGACTTTCCTAGATTTATAGGCAACTGACCAATTTCCTGGGGACTTTGTCAGGCAGATTGTCTTGAGGTAGCAGTCTCCTGGGTGTATCTCTCTCTGGCAGCAATAAGACAAGGCTGCCCAGCAGAGTAGCCTTTTGCCAACCAGTCCAACCCATTCTGCCTGTTCTAAGAAAGCAGCTTTCTTATGGGACACAGAAATTCCAGAAAAATTCAGTAGTACCATCAGGTCTTCAGACATCTGCATTGTGACCTGGAAGCCATACACACCAAAGTCATTTTAGTACTAATCCGTCACTGCTCTTAAGCAAGTGCAAGGTTGGATGCCAAATTCAATCCATCCTCCCTGCATTGCCCACCCAGAGCAACAAACCCAGGCTTTCGGGGCGGTTTATCTGGTCTGGCTTTTGTAGGCTGCTGACAGCTCACCTGGTCCTAGTTTGGCCACGGCATAGAGGAGGTCATAGTTGAGCACGGGTGTGGCGTCGCTGATGGGCTGCCAGCCCACGGGTGGCGAAGACGGGGGCGAGATGAGGAACTGCTTGGCGGGCTGGGGTGGTGCCAGGTGCAGCTTGTCTCCATCTGTCTCTGGGGTCTGAACCTGCAATGGTCAGGATGAGACACTAGGTCCCTGTGGCTTTGACACAGCGCACAGGTACCTGAGAGGAAGCTTTGTTCCCAGGGATGGAGGAACCAATGGACCACTGCAGTGATAATTACTGCTTACTACACATCATTCCCCACTATCTTACTTGGTCCTCAGAGCAGTGGATCCCATCGGCATCCCTGGGACCACCTCACATTACATGAAATTAGTCGATTTAAAGTCAACAATTTAGTGGCATTTTCCAAACCCTTTTTATCACCCCAAGGACAAGGCTGGACCCATGATCAGACAGTGACCACCGCTCTGGCTCCATCAGTCCCTGGCATCCCAAGCTGCTTTCTGTCTCTGTGGATTCATTGGTATATCAGACTCATGGAATCGGAACATGTGACCCTCTGGGCCCGGTTCTTGTCACTTGGTATAAGGCTCATCAAGCTGTCACATGAGACCATACACGTTTTCTTTGTTTTCAGAGCTGAATAGGATTCCATCACATGAGCAACTACAGTGTCCATGTGTTGGTGAACATTCAGGGTTTTTGGCTGTTGTGAGTAGCATGGCTGCGAACATTCATATGTCATGATTATCCTGCCTTTGCTACTCTCTTGCTCGATGCCAAGAATAGTATCCCTGGAGCTGGTGTTTTCAATCTCTAGTTTTCAAGGGTGATTATTCTCTAGCCTTATTTTTGGGGAATAGGATATTAGATATTATATAAGTGTGTAAGGGTACTATATATGGATATATATTAATTTTTATGTATGTATGCATGTGTGTATTTTGAGTAGCTAGAAGTGGAATTACTAAGAAAAAAAAAGAGAGTTGGGCAAAAAGTTTACTTGGGTTACTTTACCTGGGCAAAGTAGAGTTTTAGTTTTTTCCCTCTGAATTGGGTTTCATGAAGCTCTATCCTGGCGCGGGCTGCAGGCTTAGGGCTGCTGAAATTTATCCGGACGCGTCGGAAGCTCTTAAACAGCTGGAACGTCACACAATCATCGTAAGTCCGGAACAGCCCTTCAAACTTTTCCTGATAAACACAAGAGAAATTCACTGGTCACGCTTATTGTCGGATGCTAGATCTTACAAAAACAAGGTAACTAGGTAGGTAGTCTGTCAGATAAAATTAAAATAGATCGGATCGCCCGTCATGGTCATTATCCATCTGCTGGTCTGATGGCCAGGTGCTAAAATGCCGGTGTTTTCAGGTGAAATTTGCAACCTGGAATGAGGGATCTGTGCAGGACTAGGGACTGGGGCTCAGTGTTCATGAAACTTGAAAATTATGCAAAACTGTGTTTCTGTGTATGTGTATGTGTGTGTATTCTGGAGAGAGGGATTGTAGCTGCCAGAAGACTCTCAAAAGAATCCATTATCTCAAAAATATTACAGGACATGGTAAACATCAACCATGCATATCAGTCTTGGGGCATTTTCCTGGCAAGGTATGAGATGCTCACACCACTCCCACGCATCTAGCGCCATGTGGGTAGTGCTGGTCAACGAAATGTATGCAGAAGTCAGGAAGAAGCCCTGGAGTGAAGTTCCATGCCTTCCTCTAAAGAGGTCTCGTACTCCAGGTGAGGAAACTGAGCCTCACCCAAGGCACAGTCATCCCAGTAGGGCTCTCCTTATCTAGGGCTGCTAGGCAGCCCCATGGGAGCAGAAACAGCTTTTCCCCTGTTTCTACACCGTCCAATAGCAAATTTGGTCTTGGCAAGGGAGAGGGCCCTCAATTGCATTAAAACACTGAGATTTGGTGATTATTTTACTCCTCCAACAGAGCCAAGCCTATCAGAATACAAAGCAGTAATTGAAACATTTTGATTCAATGCACAGTTTCAATTCAACTGAAAAAAATACCTATTTATTAAACGCTCACTTGGAACAAGGCCTGATCCCTCTCTAGACTCCAGAGGGCCACAGAGACACAGATCACACATTCTGATCTTCAGCAAGCTAATGATCTGCATGAGAGGCAGACATAAGAGAAGACCCAGAAGACTAGGGAAAGCGTAAGAAGAGAATCTAGAAAGCAAAAAACATAATAATTCCTATTATAAGTAAGAAAACCAGTGCATATTAAGCTACCATGTGTTCTCTATATAGAAACTGACACTATGGGAATTACTTCTATTTAAAACACACACACACACACACACACACACACACACACACACACACAAACACACCCTTTTTTCCTGTATTTTTCCAGCTCTTTTGTCATAAAAGTAAACCTAAATGGGAAGGGGGAAGCATGAAAGATGAATAGTGTAAATCCATAGAGCTGAATTTGAAATTTCCCCAAGAGAGTAAATCCAACCTTTCCCTCCTTATTGCCACCAGTTTACAAATTAGGATCCTGAGATCTAAAGACAGAAGGACAGACGCATCCATGGGCCACAAACCATTGGTCAATGGCAGAGTCATGACCAACAAAGTCCTGTGACCCTGATCATAAAGAACCATACTGCTAGACAGGAAGACTGGGACATGTTAGTAAGGGCAGGAAATGGGTATAACTGCAAACTGACCAAGGCTAAAGAGTGACCACATATCAGTAAGATCAACACAAGGACAGAGTTGGGAAGCCCTGACTTCTGAGGCTGCATAGGAGAGTGTCCTAAGTTTTGGGAGGCTTCCTGCCTCTCAGGCACCCAGGCAAGCTTGCCTTAGACACACACATCTATATGTGGGATCTTCTTCAAGACCACGTGCCTGCACTGTGCCACCTCTTCGGACTTCGGACTTCCATGTCTGGGCATGCTCTTCTCTTTTCTACCAGTATATTAATCTAGTCCAAGAACCCAAAATAACTAAAGCTTTTGTTTCACTATGCTTGAGAGAGATTTGAAGGATTTCTTCTCCCCTGCTCTTCTTTTCTCTATGAAGGACAAAAGAAGGAGCTTGTCTTAGGCAGGGCAGTTCTCGGGTCATCTCTCAAGCCTTGGGATCAGCCACCTGCCAGGCCTGTAGCTTCAGTATCACTCCAAGGGGGCTCATTAAGGAATTAATTGCCACAGTCCTGTGTTTTCCTGAGCAGGAATCCTGATGATTAAATGCTTTGTTTCTCCACAGTGAGAGTGCTCTGGGCTGCTCAAATCCCAGCTACTGGTCTGATTAACTTGGGGAGTTTTCAGGAATGACAAGAATTAAAAGATTAATAGCTCTTATTTCTATACCACATCTGGTATGTTTCAGGAGGAGACCTTTGGGTCTTTGATGTCCGTGTGTCTTTCAGCTCTGTTTGGAGTCTCGGCGTCCTGATCACCAATGCAAGGCCTCGGAGCTGTGCAATTTTCCTCTGAGTCTTCTCTTCTCCTTTTCAGTCTGTATCCTTTTTTATACCTTCCATCTCATTAGAGTAGTTACCTCTGAAAACTCGGGTTAGGAGAAAGTGATCAAAGCACCCAGGCTTAGGCTTTGGCTAAGTGGCCTGTGTGATCCCCTTTGGGACATCAGCAACTGATCATAGCTATTTTCCCTTTGACCCTTAACAGAGAGCTCCAGGCAACTTGTACTGTAAAGCTGCTCATGGGACATAAACTTTGCTCTTAAATTTCTTGGTTTAGGCACAGGCCAATGAACAAAAGGAGATTTCATCTCCAACCTGGGGAGCAGTCCAGGGGCTGGGGCTGTCACTGGACTATATGGGACTTAATGTCTATACTGCTAATGATAAACAATTCACAGCTACCTGGCAGGCACTATCTGCATAAGTCTTGGGGGGAATTTGCTGTCATAGCAGGTGATAGCTGGCCAAGAACAGGGTACTTGCCGGCCATCTCTGTTGTTTTTCCTACTAGTGACATGACAAACATTTAATTTGCTAGGGCAGGAGGACAGCAAATGAAATGGGCTAAAGAAAGATCCAGCTCCCCTGAGGGAGACAGTGCTGGGCTTGTCACTGCTGGCACAGCAGGGCTATGGGTTGATGCCCAGGTCCTGCCAGGCACACAGGCAGATGTCACCCTCTGCCTGCCAGTCTGCTCCAGCTTGGAACCATAAGTCCCCAAAAATCCCCATCCCCCCCTCAACAGCCTATAACATCCTACAGCAGCCACCCCAAACTCTTGGTTTTAGGAGTCTTTTATGCCCTAGAAAATTGGGACCTAAATAACTAAAGAACCTAAGAGCACTAAAAGCCTAAAGAACATTTGTCATGTGGGTTTTACCTGTAATACTTCTCACATAGAAATTAAAGCTGAGAAACTAAAAGATATTTACTTATACCTTTGCTTCAAAGTAACAAGAATGAGCTCATTATATTAACATAACCCTTTTATGAGAAGGCACTGTTTTCTAAAGCATGAAAATAAAGTGTGAGGAGATAGGCAATGCTTTATATTTTTGCAGCTCTCTTTAATTTGTGACCTAATGAAAGACACCAGGAATCATGGATCTGTCTATGTCTTGCCCTGTCTCGTTTTGACTCCAGGGTATGAACCAAAGCCCAACTCACCCAGACCTGTGGTCAAAGACACAGACTATGTCACCACCTTGCAAGTAACTGAATATTCCTCTCCAGAGCTTCAAAACATGACAATTGATAGTTCTTATAGTGAACTGCAATGTGGAATCCGAAGCCATAATCGAGTCACAGTTTTATTATGGTAAGATTCAGCTATCTAGTTTTCTAGTTTTGAATAGAACTTTCTGACAGTCTTCCTTGGTCATTTGGAAAACACTGGTTCTCTGACTTATGTGGCTTTCCTAAATTGATCAGTTTCATTACACAGATGTAAAAATCATATTCATTAATGCCCCATCTATCTCATCAACAAATCTTTACACATTAGGAAAGCTGTCCACCACGGTGGACATGAGTTTCCCAGAATTTTAAGTTTTGCCAAGAATATCATTGTTTATCACTGGCAAATGGCACCATCATTATTTTCTGTAAAGTAACAGATCCACCGCACCCCTGTACCTGTCTGTACACCTGCTGCCTGCTGGTTGTTTCTCCAGCTGAGTGTGCTGTTTCCTGGGGAAAGGAGGCAAGCAGGAGCTCGTTCCAGCTGGAGGTGTTGCTTTCCTGGGTAAAACATCGGATTGGGTTTGCCATGGGGAAGCTTTGTGGATGCTTCACATTTGATACCCAGAACAAAGGTGTGTGCTCAGATTAAAGAGATGACAAAGCTCATAACTTTTCTGCTTGTTAAAATCTTAAAACTGGACTTTCCTGTCTTTTTCTCTATTTTGTTTAAACTGTGAGTGGTGTTGAGGGTCATGAACATTCTGGGTACAGTTCAGCGCTGCTGCCTGATTCATGCTTTATTACCAATGTCAACAAAACTAAGAAGCAAATGATGTTTCAGGATTATTAGGAGAACAGTCTGGACTTAAGGGGAAAGGTCTTGAGAACCCCTGACAAGCAGTAGACTTTGAGAGCTTCCGTACCATAGGATCTCAGAAAAAGATGGGATCCACTCATCCTGGGGTAAAGACAGGAGGTCTAGTGGAAACTTTCCAGATAAAACAAGATGGCCAAGAAGAGCTGCATGCCAGAAAGCGTGAGGAATGCTGCTAGGAAGTCTGAGAGTGTGGAGTGGAGATGACACCATCAGCTTTGGCTGTGAGGGGCAGCTCTGTCCCTGCAGAGGGACAGTGACCATGCATTTTTAATTCTAAGGATGTCTCCATTTCCCTGATATACTGAGGCATCACTTATGCATTTAGCTGTCAAAACACTAAACGACCACGAAACCAAACCTCCTCCCAAATAGAAAATCTGTCTTTGAACAGAAGTGAACCTAAGCATTGTGGAACCAGGGAGCCGAGGCACTTGAATCTGTGGTGTGATACCATGCGTCACGCTGATGGTGGAGTGTCCTCTCTCCTTAACTCCCTTGTAAGCACTGCAGTTGTTGCCATGGGGAAGAAAAGCAGAAAAAAGGCTGCCTGAGACCGTGGGGAGACTTCAGAGTGTTTGTCGCTGTAGGCAGGAGGCCCAGATGTGTGTACTTATGTTACTCCAATGTCACCTCCCAAACAGGTATTTTAGGAATTAAGAAAGAAGGAATGACCTTGTTGCACATGACCAGTACTGTTAAATACAGAATTATAGAAAATATAAAGCAAAGGGGACATGCAGGTACATGTTCCTGGAGACACTGGTTTTGTAGCAAGATTCGTGGCTGAATACATCTCGTTTGAATCCTAAGCTATGTGTCAGGGGCACAGATGTAGAGGAGACACAGTGATAATCACCTCCGAGATTTGCTGAGGAAAGGACTTCTTTCCAGAAGGCCACGTCTTGTCTTCCCTAACTGGAAATGGTGGGGATGAACTTTAAAACCGAGTGTGTTCTCGCTCCTCCCAGTGGAGGTGAAGCCTCTGTTTAACACTAGGCAGCCAATAATTGACAAGGACACTTTAGGAAGTTCGCTGTTAAATTAATGGGCTAAATCCATAGTATGTTCCACGTCAGGTCCTTCTGAAGACAGTTTAAATTTGAATCCATTCTTTCTCCACTTGGCATCTGATCAAACTCGGCTTTTTAAAGGCAGCATGGTGTCCTTTTGCTTATTTTCCCCATGGAATTGAAATGGCATTTTCATTCTTTTAAGAGGCAGACAGAGACAATTTCTATGACTCAGTCATTAACTCCAAAAAGAAAGTGCACAGGTCTTATGCTCTTGATGAAGTGTGTATATGCATGTGTGTGCGTGTGCATGCATAAGTATGCACACAAGATGGAACTCGGGGTCTCACACATGCCAGGCAAGGGCTCTAGCTCTGACTCACATCCCCAAGCCCTCCTGAGGGTATTTCAGCTACCCTTCCTCCTTCTCTTCCTCTTCTATTTTTATCTAGGTCTTTCCCCTGTTTTTCCTATAATGACATAGAAAGAATACACATTAATGATATAGAAAATTAAATTTCTTAAGTTCAAATTTCTCGAGACTGGAAACTCAAGGAAACAATTGTCTCAAACTCCCAACCCCACCCAAGCCAGGATATGAGATACCCCCAGAAAGCCTTTCCCACCTGAAACGTGAAGTCAACATCTATCAACATCTATCGAAGTGAGTGGATGACCTGAAACCGTAACCGACTCTGCAACCGTAGCTGACATTGGCCATAACCTTGTACAGTGGCTGCGTCTCCACTTGGGCATTTACAAGATGGCAAACAATGCCTGGGCAGGTAGGATGAACAATAGCTAAGGTTCAAGTGTGTTCTACGTGCCAGGTCCTAAGTCCCTGATATGTCCTGTTTGTTCTCACAGGAAATGGAAGAAGCAGAGGGGGGAATGGTTGAAAAAGATCTGACATTGTGCCCGAGGTGGGCATTCAGTCTGAGATGCTTGCAGAGGGCACCTCAGAAAGTCTATCATCTGGAGTGATAGTCTTAATGCTCAGCCACATCACAAATGACAGAAATTAAAAAAAAAAAAGCTGCTACATCCACCAATGGAATGAGATCTTTCTAGGCAGTGTGGACTGAAAGCAGCTATTGGTTTGTTCATAGGATGGAGCTATAACTCTGCTGTAACCTGTAACTTTGTGCGTGTGGATATTACACAAATTCAACATTTTTGAATATAAGTCTGATTTAGGGCCTGAATCAGTGCCAGCCTGGCAAGATGATTTGACCCCATATTCCATGTAGAATTATTTCTCTACCCATGGTACAGATTCAAGTAAGATTAGGGAAGCGAGGAGAAGCCAGCAACATATTGGTGGTTACTTAATGTATGAGGGTGCTTTAAGTATGCTGTGACCTCAGGACTGTCTTGGCACACTGGGTATGTGGCAGTAGCTGGTCCCCTGAAACAGTGATACCTCAGCGGTGGCTCTCAGCCCACAGGGATCCATTGGCAGCTCTGAGGGAGGCAGACTGTGTGCAAACCCACAGGCTTACACACACACACCCACCATTGCCGTTGGTGTTCCCTCTGTCAAGGGCTATTAGTTTGTGACTTAATGGGAGTGATGGAATACATTTCTCAGGGTGACTAAATTTTCTAGATGAGTTTATAAAGAGGGGTCTAATCATGTATCCAGCTAACAAGCCTGCATGCTACCACATATCTCTCCATACTGTGACCCTTTGAGGAGCACACAGCATCTTTCAGAGATTATAACCACCACCAAATGCATAACACTTTCCTACATACAGATGGTGTCCCAGAGCCTTTCATCCTGCCAGCCCCACCTGTGGCCCACATACCAAAGTCAGCAGTCCCTGGAAGCCAGGTGGATAAGTATTAACATGGGTCCCAAGACCAACTAATTCAGAATCTGCACTTTAACATCCTCTGAGAACTACATCTGGCTTAAGTTTGAGACTAGCAGATTAGAAGATGTCTGTTGGAGACTTCGTTGTCTCTTGAATCACTGAATAAATTAATTTATATATTATTTATATATTTCTGGTACTGGTGACTACTGGTCTTTTGGTGTTAGTGGTTTTCAATTCTTTGTATTCATTAATAGATTTTGCATTTTGGTAATTATTCCTGTTGATTGCTTTTTGCTTAGTTCTTGCAATTGCATTTGTTTTTACTCGATTATCTTGTTCTTTGCAAATTCTTTGTTCTTGCTGGGTTTGGTATGGTCCATGAAGTCTGTACCTCTCCTGCCCTGCGTTGAATTCTGAGCCTCCCCTGAGCGTGAAGTAGGAGCAGCAGGAAGTGCCTGGCATCCAGAACCTTACAAACAAGTAGAATCCATGGTAAATACCACACGCATCCCTTCTTTCTACTGGCAAATAAGGATACAAAATTCCCCTACAAATGCAATGTCTTTTCACAGTGACACATTTCTAGGAACAGGTACAGACAAATATGACAGAAGGTTAAATGTTGCATGGTCTCTCTTCTATGACAAACACAATATAAATAAAGAGCAGAATAAAAGGGAGATGATAGAAAATGAAGAGGCAGATTTTTGGGGAAGGGGATGTGGAGGAGGAGAGGCTGAGGGAGGAGTAAAATTGATCAAGATGCAATGCACATGTGTCCCAATTCCCCAAAGTGAAAGTGATAATTCTATACAGCAAACAGGTACTAATTACAATAAATAAAAAGTAAATATGCATGAATGTAGAATTTGGTATAACTATCTTATTCTTAAAGCTCTCATAAATTGATACAATTATAAAACAAAAACAAAGTTTGAATTAGAGACTCCTTACAAAATCAGTGCAGCAAAGGCTCCTGTCACAGGACTGAGTGTGGCCACCACTGCCACCCAGGATTTTTCTCCTTTCCTTGCGTGAAAACAGGAGCTACTGAGGATCTTTATTCCCCAACCCCCACCTACTTTTCTAGATTAACTTATCCACGGTTAGTTTCTCCTCAAATAAAAACAAATCTGCCCCTTCCTGCCCTGTGTGGTGGGTTACCTGACTTTAACCCGCCCCATTGTTCTCTGCACAACAGAGATTAATATTTGGGGAGCTCGCGTCTGTAAAGTTAAAACTCTACAATAATGTCTGGCCCGTGGTAACTGCTCAGTTATTGTTATTATAATTACACACACAAATTACACACACAAAGAAAAACAGTAGCAGAAAGACAACTTCAGGGTTCAAGTGGCTCTGAGGTGACTGAATGGAGCTCTCTAAAATCTAATCTTATGCCATGTACAGAAAATAGATTTTTATATTATACGTATGTTGTAAACTCTATGCAAGTTGATAAAAATTTTTATCAAGAGCTCTTAAAAGACATGATAAAATAATTTAAAATGCTCAGTTCAAAAGTGGGCCAGAAACAAGCATACAAACAAACAAAAACACATGCAACAGAAATGATGAAAAATGTAGAGGACTTCAATCGAACTTTACAAATAATCATAATAAAATAACTGATTTACACAAGTTGTCAAATTGTTAAAAAGCAGCACTCAACCCTGTACTCTCTACATGAAATCTATTTTAAATACAAAGCACATTTTAGTTCAAAATCAAAGAACTGGGATAAAAAAAAATCAAAAAACAGATTGAGAAACTACATTAAAGTTTTATTATGGAAATGCTACCTACCATTTTAAAATGTGCAGTAACTTCATCTATATCTAAATATCTTAACTCTATCTCCCTGTTAAAGATCTCCCAGTTGCCTGTGAAAAAAGATTAGGCAATAAAATGAAATTAAAATTACTTTATACCTTGCCTATTATATGCTATAGTTACCAAATCAAACTTATGTCATTTTAATTTTATTTGAAGGTATATGTTATGACTTTTTATTTCTTAAATGATGTTGAGAAGAAAATAAAAGAAGTATAATTAATTTGTATAACCAAATTTTTAAAAGAGTAAGGCTAAAAAAAGTGATCAGGAACATGACACTGAAAAATTGTGTGAGCCCTAGCTAGTCAAAAGGAAGTTTGGATTCTTGTCTCTAATCAGACACATATTTTACTCTGAAATGGCCACAGACTAAAGATATTCATTTAATCAGAAGAAACTAAAATGGGATCCTGTTTTACAGAATTTACCAGCAAATGCCAAATTAATTAAGAAGCAAACACAGGGAAAAAAAAAAAGAAAAGCTAAGAAAGCCTATTTAACTAAGATGTCAGAAACTGAAGGGATGCCAAGAATCTATTGGTATTTTTAAAAAAATCAGAAAGGCAAAAAGCCAAAATCAACAAAAATATCTGTGTGGGAAAGCTGAAACATCTTGTCCCACCATGAAAATCTGGGCCACGTTTCTTTCCTGTAGGAGGAAATGCAAATTCCAACACTCGCATTAAACAAAGTCGGTGTAGATGAAGGGAAATGTTTATCAACATGGATTCACACCATTGGTTTTAACACAGAGAAAGAAGTCATTTCAACAAGGACAGATGAAGCATGCTTGGCAACATAGAAAATAATGAATCCCATCATTGAAGCTGTCTCTTATTGCTCTGGGCCTTGGTGTGTGCATCTATGAAATGGGGACAGACCCTAGGATGTTCCTAGCACTGCAGAGATACACAGAAGTGGCCCTGCAGAGAGCGGTGCCTGTGTTTGGGAACCCTGTGACTTTGGCTTGAGGCCAGTGATCCAGGGTCCACAATTCTACTTCCCAGACTCTTTCTGGCTTTTGACATTTTATAACCAATTTGACATTCATTTAACCATTCACCCACATACTGACCACCACGTACCCCGTAAAATCACTATTCCAATCTGTGGGACAAGACTGGGATGTGATATGTCTTAGTTACTTTTCTTTCATTGCTGAAGCAAAATGCCCAACACCCAAAGTTAGGGGAAAGGTTTTTTTTAGCTTACAATTTGCAGCGGTTTTGGTACATAATGGGCTGGCTCCAAGGCAGGGTGGCACATGGCAGAGGAGCCACATTTCATGGTTTCAGAAGACAGCAAAAGCAGCAAGAGCAAAAACAGGAGAGAAGCCTCTTTCTGCCCTGTTATCTTATACAGACTGCTGGGATTAGGGTGGTATCAATCCAATCAGTGAGCTGATGGGCAATCACCCATGATTAATCCCAGCATTGCGCACTCTAGATTCAGCCACCTCTGAAAAGGTCTTATGACTCCACGAGACTTTGGGGGACTGTCTAGACACAAGCCATAATAGTATCCTCCTAGATCTTCTGCAGTGTAAAAGCATTAACTAGGAAGTGATTGTTGGGAAAGATGTCTTAAATTAACCTTATCTCTTGTAACTCCAGAGACTCTGAGCTCCTCTAGGCCACATGATTGTTTGTTCTGGAGAAAGTCTGGTTAAGGCACAGTACGAAAGGAAATGAAAGCAGGACCTTATTCCAGTGGAATGCTGCTGGGATAGCATGAGATGCTTTGCTAAGATATATCTAAAGGGACAGTAAACATCAAGGCCAACATGGCCAAAGATGGTCCCTGAGATAGTTAAACAATGAAGTTCTCACTTATCTGTACTTTACCCTTCCCATGTCCCACTTCTGCATTTTTATAAAGAGAAGACTAATAAATAGCCAGAGAAAATTGTAATGGAAGCTTCAGTCCTAGCAACTGACACCCCCTGATTCCATCACTTGGTCTCTTGATTGTTTTCTTTTCTTCTGCTGTACTTCATTTTCAGGACCTGTCTTCTCATACAAATCAACATTTTGGTGCCTGCAAAGGGAGCTGAAAACCACAGTAGCCCTCAGAAAAGGATTCCAATGCCTAGTGGACCCAGGAAGAGTTGGGCAGGTAAGTAAGCCCGTTCTCCAGGGTTTTTGCATCAGGGTTACAATGAGAAATGCTCCATCTCAACAAAAATATGTTCACATTCTAAAAATTTTGTTGCATTCGGGGGTTAAAGTGAAACCACAGACTTTCACCAAATTGTTTGCCTTCATAAGAAAACATTGCTATTGGTTTGAATCCAAGGAACATAATGCTTTAAATTTAAAACAATGAATATTGTTTATGAAAGCTTCGAAACATGCTTATTAACAAAGCAGTTCTATTCCTTTACATGTTTGGTCTTTGTGTAACTTGATAACTTTGGCTTTAGAACTCATGCAATCTGAATCAGAGCAGGAGATTTTGCCAGACAGGAGAAATGCTAAGGGCAAAGGCAGCTGTGATTTTCAACCAGCCGATAGTTTACCTGAGGAGACTTTAACTTCCGGGTCAGGGACTGATGACAGATGAAGGGAGTTATGGACCTTTTGGAAATCTTTCTAGTGACGAGGACCTGGGGAGAGAGCATTCCTTCACTTGGGGACACAAAGGCCCAGCCACTTGGGAAATGAAGGCACACACATTCCAAGCCGAAACAGAAAGGAGGCCAGTTTGTGCTGAGGCCTGGCAGAAAGGCCAATGTGCTCAAAGAGATCAAATGGATCAAACCACACAGGGCCTTCGGGGGCCACAGAAACTGTTTGGGGTTAACATGCAGCAGAGAGCCAGGGGGAGGTTTGAGGCAGAGAGGACCACGAGTGACCTGATTTGTGTTTTCAGGAAAGCACTTAGGCCAGTGGTGGTGAACCGATGGCGTGCACGTTAAGGTGGCCTATTTGCATCATTGAAAGCTCTGAAAAGTTCCTCATCCCTCATCGGACTATGCAAACTAGGGGTGCTGGTAGCAAGTCCTGGAGAGGGTGATGGGACCAAGTCTGTGGCGCAGTGGTGAGAAGGACCCAGCAGGAGAATGAACAGAGATGCTGGGGTAACAAGTGCAGAGAAGAAAACAGGCAGAAGACCATGTTCATGGTTGGGGTGACTGTTTGGTGGTGTGATTTTTCAAACAGAGGAGACAGTAAGAAAAACAGATTTTGTAGGGAAAGCCCAGAGTTCTGTTTGGGCCAAATTAAATATTAATGTTGTTATCAGGCATCAAGTGATGTGCTGGGTCCTAGCACAAGGGACAGCAGAGCTGAGCCACATTCAGTAACGCCTGAGGACTTGCAAACCCTGCTACCTGGGGAATAGCAGGGCCCTCCTCATTTATTCCCCTTTGTGGGCTCACTGTTTAGATTTTGCTATGATTGCATAAAATACTGTACTCCAAAATTCTTTCAATAAGTCGTCCTTTTAGTGTGATCTAGCTTTTCCACCTGTATTGTTTGTCACTCAAAAGACTTTAAAGAAATTCTTCTGTTGAACAATATCATTTCTAAGGTTCTTTCCTGATTTACTATTTTATGGAACTAAGAAGCTATTTTTATCCTGGCACGTGGTATGAACGGCAGCCTGGGGCCCTGGTGACAAGTATGGCAGACGCTAGCTATGCAGGGTACAATAGTTGCACTTTGGGGAACTTGGCTGGGCACAGGCGCCGGGGGCTTCTGCACATGTCACCTTGTCTGCTCCTGACACCAGTTCTGGGTGGAAACAGATGAGAAAATTGAGCCTCGGGGCCTGTGTGACAGTTGAGGTCATGGAGAGAGTAGTACTAAAATTGAGCTTCAAACACCAGTGGCTCGGTAGGCTACTGCATGGCACTGTTGCAAGCTGGCGTGCTCTGACATGACAGGGGTCCCCGGGGAATCTTGTGGCAGGTGGGGGTGGAACAGGAACTGCAGCTACCCGCTCTCAGAGTCACCACATGCTGGCTGGGACATGACTGTCAAGCAGAGCTGTGTGTGAAATGCACAGCATTTGAAACTCTCTACCTGTTCCAACTTGGACCTGTGCTCCTGAGGAGCTCCTAGGAGAGCAAAGACATCTAAGGTGCATGCTCAGCCTGGCCTTGGGTGGGAAGCAGTTGCTGTGGACCTGTGATTAGGAGGACCTGATAGACCCTCAGCCAGGTGTAATTTTATGGATGAGAATCTAGGATGAGTAGAATTAACATCTGAAGGCCTGGGTTCCTGCATCCACATCAAAACCAACGACTTCTGATCTCAATATGGTGCTACTTCCAGTCTGATTTATAGTAAAGTCTTGGACCCTTGCTAGTGGAATGTGTCATTAACTCTCTGTTCTTAATTTTTGTCCTCCTTAATTTTTTTTTATTGAGGTAGAACTGACATACATAAAATGCACAGCCTCACTGATTTTTTTATACCACAATGTGACCAGCAGCAGTGTGACCATTGCCCACTCCACACAGGAAAATCCTCCACACCTCTAAGGTCTCACCTACCTCCCCCAAAGCCTGTGTGACCACTATTCTGACTTTTGTTACCAAACACCTGTTTTGTCTATTTCCAAACTGTGTAAGTAGAAAATAAATGTTGTAAAAACCTGTCTTCTCTTCCTTTATCTTCTAAGCATGAGCATGTTACATGATGTGAAGGACCCAAACTCACTTGCCTATTTTCTCGGTACACAATGAAATATTTTCCACTCCAGTGTCATTATGAGTAGGTCATTTCTGGTGGGAGCATGGGTTCATTTATCTTGAGAATAGACATGAACTGAATTCTAGAAGGCACCAGGAATGTCTCTGAATTCACAGTGGTTGTAATAACTTTATCAGAATCCCAGTTGTTCCACATTCTTGCCAGCCCTGGTACCAGGGGCTCCTTTGTCTGTAGCCGCCTGTTGGCTGTGTAATGGTATCTCAGTGTGGTTGTTTGCATTTCACTGATGGCTGCTTTCGCCAGTTTGATGTTGTCTTTTGTGAAATGTCTGTTCAAGTGTTTGGCTCATTTTAATGGGCTGTTTGCTTTTACTTATATTTATGATTTCTTCATACATCCTGGAAATGAGTACTTTGTTAGACTTGTACAGAGTGAAGATCCCCTTCCAGCCCAAGGCCTTCCTTTCTGTTTCAAGTGGCACCTTTTGATGAACAGAGTTCTTAATATTTAATAAGATCCAATTTATCCATCTTTCTATCATCGTTATTTCTGTGCCTTGCTTAGGAAAATGCTCCCTCATTCAAACTTTGCCTCTTTAAACTCAGGAAGCTCAGAGCCACTAAGAAGTTGTCTGCTTGTGGAGCAGGAGGGACAGAGCTGATCATGAAGAGTTTTCAGGTATGGGACCGAAAAGAGATTGTGAAGTCAGACAAGCAACCACTAAACATATCAGACTTTATCCAAGTCCAGTGTTGATACTGTCCCCACACCCTTGGGGACAGCTGCAGCAGATCCTGTCCAGGTTTGGCATAGGCGACCCTGCACAGCGATACACAGCTGTAAAGTGTGCAAGTAATCTGTGTCTTCCTCAGAATGGAGTGGACTGTCAATGAAGTCAGCAGAGCCAGAGCTTGTGCTGGTTGTGTACATCTGGGTGCCACTACACAGTTGCCAGTCCCCTCCGGTCTCTCAGTCCTGTCACTGTATAGGGTTCTTGTTTGGCTTCTCTGCAGACAAGAGGCATCCCAAGAAGTCCCTCAGTATTCAAGAATGCGTGACCTCAGAGGGCGAATAAATAGTCAGCAGCCTTAATCACTGGTGGCCAGGAGGCCAATGGACAGCTTGTCCCCCTTTCTCCCAGAGGTTCTATGCTGCACCCCTATAGCTCCCCAGGGCATCTGTGGCGTCCACAGCTAGCTCTGCAATGAGATCTGCTCCGTTTTCTGTCCTCTGAGATATCTCCTGCTTCCCAGTGTCCCTGAACATCATCCCATTCCTCCTTCTTGGTTTCCAACACCAGGTGCCCCCCGCACTTCCGCTTTTGTCTCAGGCAAAGACACACTGAATGAGATTCTGCTTGCTTGGTTTGGCTTCATCAGATTTCAACTGTCAGTCAATTTTACTCTTTTACAACTTCAGAGGAAAACTCTGACCTTTTACTGGGAAAGTATTAGTATGAATTAAATACAACCAATCAGCTACACTTATCGCCTGCAGGGGTAATTTATTCCAGAATCAATGCGGGTCTGTTATCCACAGTGCTCAAACAGATTTCTTCTTAGACAGCTGCTGGAGAGGGGCCAAGACCTGGATCAACATCTGTGTGGGTTCAGGAGATAATCGAAGCACTAAAGTGACTTAAACCAATTTAATACCCGAGGCACTTCAGAGAAGCTGACCCTCCTGAAGTGTGGACACTACCACATGGCCACGCATCGCCTGCTTTCACTTGGAGGCTTGGGACATGATCCCCGCTCTGGATCCCTGCACAGGCCAGGTAACTGAGGCCTGGAGGGAACTCAGAGAGAACTTCCAGAAGCAGTGAGAAGTCTGTCCTAGGAGGTGGTAGGGTCCCAAGATGACCCTGTTTGCATGTCCAAAGAGCAAAACCATGGGGTTTGTCAACAGGGTGTTCCATTGAGATTACCTTCTCTCAGTCTGCATGGAGCGCTGTTCCCAGGAACCCCAGCCCCATGTCGGTGTTGGAAAAGTAGAGGGCATATGCATACTTTTTAAACGCTGGCCTTCCCACAATGTCCCCAAGTCCCTGCAGGCCCAGGGAGCTACACTGCTCTGCTCCAGCATTATCATCTCAAGCATCTACGAGGCATCAAGGCAGCATAGAAAAGGGCAGGGAGAAGTGGCCGCCAGCGCAGGAGGACGGTGACGTTTATTCAGAGTTTGGAGAGCTGGCTCTCCATGCACAGGGCCTCTTGATCCTGCTATATTTTAGAGGCTCTCACATTTTCCAACTCTGGTGGACACGAGTCTTCTCACTAGAGTGCAAATGCTGTTCCTGAATTCTGAGGCCTCCGGCCTGGGGCTCACTTGCTATGGGAATTCAGGCAGTGTTTCTGGAAGGCTCCCGTCTTTGCCCAAATGTCATGATCTCTGTAAACTGTACCCCGGCCACTGCACTGAAAATTCTGCCTTCCATCCCCCCTCCTAATCTCTGGTCCTGCCCTACTTTCTCTCTCTCTTTTTTTTTCTTTTTAGCATGTATCATTTGGAGCATTTAATTTCATCATTTTGCTTATGCTTTTCTCCTCCCACTGGATGTTCCATGGAAAGCATTTCTGGTTGTTTTCTGTGCTGATGTCCCTGGTATCTAGGGCAGGACTTGGAACACAGAGGACACTCAGTGCTGACTGTATAAAGGCTTCCGCCTCCGCATCTACTCAGAAGTGGCCTATGCCCACCTTGGGGTTCCAAATCTATATTTATAGAATAGTTAATACTTATTAACTATTTATTTTGCACTCTGCTGAGTGCCTAGGAACAATCACAGAGAAGACATTGTCCCCACCTTGGAAGAACAGCGTTAGCTAAGGAGCTGTCTATGAACACAGTCAACTGTGACACTGGAAGGGGAATAAAACATGGGTGACAAATACAGATGACACAGAAAAGGCTACGTGCACCCCAAGTCTCAGCCATGACGTGGGTGGAGATCAGAGCTGGAAGAGCCAAGGCGTCAAGGCTGGATGGACCCTAGCAGAGGCATGCGTGTGTGCATGTGTGTGTAATCACAGTGGTGTGGAGATAGCAGTGTTCCTAGGGGTGTTCCCTGATGCCCTTCACCCACAGAGTTGAGCGTATTCCCTGTGCTCTTCCTCTGCACCCACTGGAGGCTTAAAAAGAAACAGAACAGGCAGGCTTTTGCTTTCCTGGAACTTGCCTTCCGGCAAAGGGAAACATAATAAAATCAGGAGGGAACAGGACACTAGAAATAAGGGCTGCAGGTGCAAACAGAAAGGGAGGAGGGGGCCACAGGCACCACGGGGCCAGGCTCCGGCCATGTCCTAACACCCTCTGAAGGAGGCCTTCTGACATGTAATTATTAAGACCTTCATCAGTGACTTTAAAGATCTCTTAACTTAGACAAATTGGCACATTTGTAGAAAAAAAAGAAAAAGAGGTTTGAATTACAGGAAGGGAGAGGCAAATGTGGTTGGGGGGGCCAAAGGCCCTTTCTAGGCCTAGTTGAGGGTGGCAGGACCCAGACGTATGTATGCATGACATACAGGGAAAGGAGGAGAAGGAAGAGGAGGGCACAGAGGACCACGACAAACACCTGGCAGGTTGGGAAGAGGGAACTGGCAGTGTCGTCACATGAACCCACAAGCTGGACATATGTCACATTTCATCTGGACTAGATCTGGGAGTAGGGTAAAGGCCAAATTTCTGTCTTTAAAGAGCAAAAGCATTTTAAGGCAAAGAAACATCAGAATTGATCTACCTTCTTACAGAACATAGTATTATCAGGGTAAGTGGTGTTAAAGTTATGGGTTTTAGTGGGGAAAAATGGAATTGATCATGAAAATAATGTCAGCAGGAGAAAAGGCCCTGTCTCCAGAGCAATCAATCCCAGAGTACACTGGAAGGCTGCAGGGAAGATGGCTAGAGAAAGTCTGAGGTCCCTCTTAATCTCCAAAGCCCTTTTCAACTCTGAAAGCCTCAAGGTGGGAAGGCACAAGGTCACAGGAAGCTGGGAGGCTCCGAAACCAGGAACAACTTAACATTGAGCAGAGGAAGCCTGCTGGGCAGGGGAAGTCTTCAGAACTGAGCTCAGGAGGTGCAGGCTGCTTCCTCCCAGGCTGTCAGCAGTTGGTGTTGCCCCCACAGCCAGGCAGAGGGAGGCTGGGCAGTTGGCCTTGCCATCATCCTGCTACCAAGCACAGAGCTGGAATCAGAGCCTTTCGATCTTTTGCCCAGCATGCTTTCCTGTTTGCCCTGCACAATTTCCGTGTAGGGCTAAGACAAAGGGATAAAAGTCGAGATGTGGTTGTTTGAAGAATTGTAGCAGTCTCTAGACTCATTTCCTTGCTCTTGTCAGTGCTCCTGGGGCACCATCATCTTCCTAAGTGATAAATGACGGCTCTTAGCACCCAAGGATCGCCCTGGTTCACAGAAAATTCATTGCAAAGGATTGGGCTAGACTCAAGATCATCTGCAGCCTGGTCTCCGTCCTCTGCAGCCTCGCCACCCCCTGATTTGTGTGGGGTAGGCCAGGCATGGACAGCAGGGATTGCAGGACTGGAGTGTGCTTTGTTGGAAAGGGCAGGTCCAGCTTCTCTTCTCAGAGTCCAGGACTCTGAGAAGAGAGACTCAGTAATGTCAGCTCTGTCTATCTTTCAAGAGAAGCTGGATGTAGATTTTAAAGTAAAAATCTGCCTTACGTTTACAGGCTAGCAAGGAATTCAATTGAATACAGTAATACTTTACAGCCAAGTAAAACCCACCTATGGGTCAGCTTGAAGGCAGCCATTTTGAAATTTTTGGTCCAAAATGTTCCTTTCAGAGGAGACCATGACCAGGCGCAACACATGCCTGTCATTCTAGCACTTGAGGCAGGAAAATCCTAATGTTGGGCCCAATTACAAGTTTGGGCAGCTTAGTAGCTTAATAAAATCTTGTCTCAGAATGAAAAACAAAAAGACGCTAAGGATGTATCTCAGTGTGGAGTTCCTGGGTTCAATCCCCAGTAAGGGGAAAAAAAGAAAAGAAAAGAAAGGAAATGCAGGGCCCCGTGTTACTGAATGTGCACCTTCTTCATGGTGCATACTGTGTACCCCTCAACCCTATTAGACCATGAAACATTGAGGTAGAGTTTCCCACTCTTGGGGGGGGCCCACAGTGCATCACTCATTAGATTCTCAAAACATTTCTTATGAATTTTGACTTAGAACACAAAACCAGAAGAGGTTTGGTTGTGCTTCAGTGAGAGAGAATAAAGATGGCAGTGACAGTAATAACCTGAAATAATCACGCAGGTGGATCGAGCCAAAGGTCCAGGCAGAGCCCAGAAAGTCATTGTGCATCCTACAGATGTCTCAAACCAACAGCTCCAAGTACCCTATGTGTGTGACTCCCACGCCCAAGAGAGAATCCTGCGCCTGCACACAGCAGGAAGTCATGGTTCTCTACTTGGATTTTCCCAACATAAACTGGAAAGTGGGCTGGAGAAGATGCATGTCCCATCCTCACCCCACACCCCATGGAGAATCGTGCTTCCTAATATTTGTAAAAGAAGAATAAAGACTCCCTTATTTTCTCCACAGAATTCTCGGAGTTAACCTAACCCCAGATTACTACTGGCTTCTCCCTCCTTCAACCTGGCGAGTAAAGACTGCTCAGAATGGTTTGTGATTTTTGCCAGTGTTGCCCCAAGACCAGCAGCAGATAACATCAGCATTAGTGACAGTGCGAAAGAACTTATCCAAGAATTATCATTTTCTGAAGCCTGGAATGACTTGGTGGATTTGATATTATTTCTTCACCAGCTGCATGATGCCTGATGTGGAAATGTTGCTCAGAAGGAGATTTCAGAAAATCGCCATCGTGCTATGGATGACACTAATGTTGAATCCTTAATATATGAGAACTACTCTGTTTTCAGCAGAACTAAATGCCATTAACAGATCAGTAAAATTTAAGAGCTGAATGTTTAGGACTGAAAGAAGCCATTGTGCTCTGTGCTTTGAGTACATTTTTATTTCAGTTATGACACCCTAAAGAGTAGAATTCACATATTCACTTTACAGAGAAAATCGTGCCTTGGGTAAATAACAGTTCCCAGGACTGTAAAGTGGGTACCTCCTGGGGCTAGGGTTTTACCTGGCTGGCCCAGCTCTCCCTTGTCCCCTGATAGGACTGCCCACTGGTCATCTAGACAACTTTCAAAGCAGTGGGCCACCAGCAACTCAACTGCTTGCCCCAAGTGAGCAGCTTGAAGACCACTCCCCGTGCTCCGTCTCCTGGTTCAGTTCTCCCGTCTTCCCAGAGCCCCCAGCGGGGTCACAGCTCTAGTTTATTGTGAAGATTGGTTAAGGCCGATGGTGATTTAATCCTCACAGGACCAAAAAGCTGGTTTCTACATAATCCAAGCCCTGTGTCATGGTTCAAAGGGTCTGAATGATGCTTGGGATGGGCTAGAAAAGGTCTCGCTGTCCATTAATAAACATCCATCTTCAAACAGCAGAACTCCCCAAGAAGGCAGTGGATACAAAAAGTGAGATGCCCAATGGGCACAGAGGGACAGTGGGTGCTGAGGCTTAGAGGTGGGATTGGAGGCAGCCTTCGGGGCTCTAATCTCAGCAGCCAGCCTAGAGGGAAATAGACGGCAGGGCACCTCCTCCCTACCATGCCTTCTGAACTCCTGACCAAAGGGCACCAGTTTCATGAAATCCTGCCCAATGTGTCCTACAGTTGTATGTTCAAGGACTCTGAATTCCTTCCAGACTGCCATTAGCATGGTGAATCCTGGGACTCAACTTGTCATCCATTCAAAGGGTATATTTGTCAACTGCCATAGAGTTGTCCCTCATCATCTCTGAGTGTTCATCTTTCTCCTCTGATTTTCAGCAAGGTCCCCAGGAACAAGGTGATATTCTTTGCCTCCACTGATGGGTCCATTGCCTGCATCTTGTCTGGCAGAATCTGAAGGGAAGTGACAGGTGGGCCATGTGGGGCTGGCCCTTCCAGAGGGACTTATCAGTCCTCTACCTGCTGTCTCAGGTGACCCCTGCTCTGCACCTGCTCCATGCTGGAGCTTCTCAGAGAGCCCAGTGTCAGGAATGACACTACCACTTCCTCTGAGGGTGCAGATTTTCTCTCAGGAGAGCTGGGAATGCTCTAGATCAAGCATCTGTCATGGCTGAATTTCTCCATGTCATTAGCAATGTGAGGGGCCTCAGGGGGACACTGGGGCAGGGGATGTCTATCTGTGGTCACACGTTTGTCTGCCTGCTATGTGGAGGGTAGAGTTCAGAGTCCTGGTCCTAGAAGAGGATCAGCATGTGTGTGCAGTGGAGCACACTGCCTGTGTGTCTTGGGGCACCCTGAACACTGCTGCCCCTCCCTGAAACTCTGATGGCTGGGACCTGATCACATTCCATGACTAACTGCTTTCCTATTTCAGCTCTTCTCAAACGAATAAGGAGAAGGCAGGTGCCATAATTCATGGATATCAGACCTGACCCTGTCAGGATGGGACACTGCTGCCACTTGCTCTCTGTGGTCGTGGCAGCCACAGTTCACAAAGCCACCACAGAGGACCTCAGTCAGATGTAGCAGGGAGATTACTCTGCTGGAAGTGCCTCCCAGTCCCACTGGGCTGGAGCAGAGGGCCTGCATCCTTCTTACTATGATCCAACTCTTTGTAGCCATGCCCACCTGGCCTCTATTTCCCCAATGCCCCTTCTCTCTGGCTTTTCTGCACAGGTGAGGATTCCTCCTTCCTGAACACTCTCCCTCATCCCGTGTCTCCTTTGCCCACTGAATTCATACAGAAACCACAGAGCCAAAGCTCTGGAATCACCCCATTAGGGAGCCCTGCCTTCTTGCCTTACCCAAGACTTCTCCTTGCAAGGTCCATGAGCCCTGGGCTTTCTCACACCACACGACACTTTCTAACCATTCCTCCACCAGCCTAGGGACCCCTTACCCAGGGTAGGAGCTGCACTGCTCACCCCACTGTATCTCTGGGGTCACTGTCTATTGTACACCACATGGTCTGGGGTGCCTGTGAATCCTAATGCCTCACATAAAGGCACTGTTAACACCAGCTCCACTTACTAATCACCAGCAGCCCAAGAATCCTTCACTGAAACTGCATTTTCTTTTAACACACAGACAAGTCATAAGTAAGAGGAATTTTGTCTTTTGGTCTCCAGAGACACCCTACCATAATGACGAATTGCAATTAAGAAGTTAAAACAAAAAAAAGTGACTCTATTGATCTGGGACATGACTTGGGAACCCTTCTATCACAGGAAGAACAGAACTTTCTAACAGCAGTGCAGAGAAGTCACCAGGAAGAGTGTTAAAGAGCTGTAAACCTTCTGAGTTTACGCAGATAGTCACTGTTGATATTGACATGTGGAGTTGTTTAAAAATAGTGTTATTTTGCTGAGCACAGTAAATTCAATGCCCCCTACAAAGTGAGATATAAAATAGACATCTACTTCCCTTCATTGATAATTCATATGCATGCATCTCATTCATTCAGACAATGAGTAGCAGAGCTTTAGGGTTAATTTTTCTTTTGAAGCATCACAGCGTTATTTACTAGTTTTATGATACAAGTTGATGAACATTCAAAGTGAGGCATGCATGGAAGAATACAGAATTTTTAGGGCAAGGTGGCAGTTAAGGGAAAGAGAAATTGTACTCAGTTTGGGTAATTAATCTATTTTTTAGCTGTCTTCACTGTTTTAGAGTAGAAGTGGGAACTGAAGGCCAATAGTGAAAGTATTTGAATTATGCCTTAGTCTAGATGGATTCCATCTAAGATTCGTGCTCAGGGAAAGGTGCTCACATCTTCTTGGAAGGCCCCAACCTCGGCCTCTCTTTCCCATATGGGCATTTTGCCTTGAAACCACAGCTCTCCCTGGCTTGGTAGTAAAGCTGACCTTGATCTGAGGTTTTCAGCCAGCTTTGTCTTTCTAGGACAGTGATGGTGAACCTTTTAGAGACCCACCTATTTATCACAAAGTGCCAACAGTCCAATTAAGCATGAATCTCAACAGATTTTTAGTTTAGATAAAAACAACTCACACTTCTTGTGATGTCATGGCAGATGGGACTCTGTGCGTGCAGTGGCACGTATTGCATAGGTTTGCTATCAGGGCTTTAGGGGCTCACCTGGAGCTTAAGGCTCATAGGTTAACAACACTTTCTCCATGTTACTGCCTAATGGCCAACTGGGGCACAGTGTGGACAGAGAAAAGCCCCTGCCTTCATGAAGCTGATGTTCTACTGGACAGATGGATGACAGACCACAAATGTATTACCCTCTAGCTGCTCAGGGATAGGGCTGGATCAGCACAGAGGATGCTTGGGTGGGCAGGGAGAGAGAGGTCAGAGGCCGAGAGAAAGACAGCAACGTGAGCAGAGGAGATCACCAAGCGTTGGGTGAAGTCTGATGAACCCTGCAGACCATGGCAAGGGCTCGGTTTTGTTCATGGGGTGGGAGCCACCACGTGTCTGGTTCCAATTCTGAGCCTGATTCTCCACCTCATCTGTCCCTGGGTACTGTGTCTGGGCTTCTTCTCATGCCGTGCTGAGCCCGCAGAACATCTATACTCCCCACCCACCAAGATCCTCCCATTCTGCTGCCTTATGCCCCTGGGGAGAACACACAGCAGGATGGGGCTGTCAGCAGCCCTGCAGTTCCTTTCTGTTGAGTATGGGGCTTCCCTCTCAACCCTCTATGACTGAGAGCATCCTGAGGTCAGGGTACTGCTGCCCCTGGTAGAAGATCAGGTGACCACTGTAACAGGAACTCTGCTCCAATGAGGGACATGAAGGAAAAAGCCAAACTGCATGTAAGACGTTCACATTCCTTAATGCTGACCCAATGACAATGATGGATGACAGTACTGTGCTCCATATTCTTGGTGCTATAGGGTTTAAGTAGTACTCATGTGTACCTAACCTTCTGCCAACCTTGGAGGCTGGCACGGTTCCACTCATCATGTTTCAGCTGGGGAAATTGAGGGACAGGGCGGTCAGGCTCTTTGCTCAATGTCACACCATCTGCTAAGTGGCCTGGTAGTGACCTTGTGCAAGGATGTCTGACCCCAGAGCCTGGGCTCACTTCCATCTCACATGCCCCATGTCAGCAGAAGAGCCCTGCAGATGTCAAATAGTGCTGTCCTCTGTGGTAAATGGAACCCACTGGAATAAAGGCCAGCCCTGCACCAGCTTTTCACCAGCACACCCTTCATCTGTCCAGGACCTCAGGCCTTGACCATGGAAGGCACAAATACATATTTGATGAATGAATGAACAAATGAATGGATGGATGAATAAAAGTGCTTTGTGTAGGGTCCAGCAAATAGCAATTGATTGCTACTATTATTACATTCTCTCATTGCTTATGCATCCTGTTCTAGGAAAGGTGGCCTGAGATGCCTTTCTTGGTCAATACTGAAAGATACAGGGAAGTCACTGAAGAGGAAATCGATTCTCTTAGCCGCACTATGGGTACCAGCAAGGATAATATGCTAGGAGACCTTGCTTTGGGTCCAAGTTTCCCCCTTCTTAGTTTTTTGATCTTGTTATGCAGATTTCCTGGGGAAAAGCAGGAGTTTTGTATATTTGGACAGCAATGTCCAAAAGTAAAATATCATCAGCACTGTTTTCCTATGGCTGTATTGCAGTCTTCCCAGTCGCCCTCTCCCCCCATGGAGCCACTAGGAGCTGCTGGTGACACAAACAGTAACAGGGACAGAAGCTGTCCAGCCAAGTGTGGTGGGCTTCTTCTGAGCCCTAGAAGGCCTTCCTGCACCACAACTTGATTTGGAAACAGAGTCTAAGACAGAACCCAAAACAGGGCCTCTGCCCACCATCATCACAATAAACTTTTGGAGAAACATGAAAGTGATCTCAACTACTGACTTGCAGAAAAGTACCAGCACATAAGAAACATAAGACACCACAGAGCTTGGATTATAAACTTAGTATTATAGATCAATGCAATGCCTTTTCTCTAAGGTTCATCTTCCAAAATTTAATTAATGACTTATTGATTAAGCCTTAGGAGTATTTCAGAAGTAAAAAGAACAGTTTAAGTTCCATTTTGCCAATGAATAGATATGTGATCTTGTATAAAAAAAAAAAACCTAACTTCTCTGAATATCAGGAATTTGTTTTCAATGGACGGGTAAAGAAATGTCTCAGGCTAGGGTATTGCACGGACTACCTTGTGTGTGTCACACGCCTGGTACCTAAGTATTTAGCACATAGAAGGTCTGGCTAGAAACCTTCTTGTATCCTCTGGCATGGTTAACAATATGCAGAGGTTAGCAGAAAGTGCTGGTACATGCCTATAGTCCTAGCACTCAGGAGGCTGAGGCAGGAGGATCAGAAGTTCAAGACCAGCTTAGACTAGGTCTCAAAAAGTCAGTCAAACAACCAAACAAAAACCATACAGTCCCCAGAAACTGCTTAGAGCGGTTAATGCAGAACAGTGAGAACATTTACGAAAAACCTTCCATGGTTAAAAAGAAAAAAAAAATACTGTGTGATCTATGTATTTAAGCCCACATTTGCATATGTCATGAAAACACACATGCATACATATTGTTATGACAGTCCATATACTGAATATCTCTAGGGAAAGCCTAACTTGGTAGATACTTTAATTCTCTAATAATTTTAATCTCTTTATTCTAGATGGGACATGGACAAGGTATAACTTTGGACCTGCCTGAAATCCCCATTTGAAATTATCACTCAGGGCAGATTATGGAATCAGCTTTTGTTTAGAGCTG